TGTGTAATACTAACATGGATCATGCAATGTCAAAATGAAAAAGATAGTGTATTCGTCTCAACTGTATACGGAGACGACAAAGTAATGATTTCATTTCTCTGTACATCAGAGCATGTACTACAGGACTTCACATTTACAATCTTTTGAAATACCCTCTACATATTTGATACTCTATTGGTCTTTTGCTGGATTTTCACTTTCCAACCTTTATACTCGAGTTCCCCACCCTAGTGGCTCCACACCTAGTTGGGGTGTGGTCCTCCCTTGTTTATATCTTAGTGTGTCAAGTATGTTAAAAGGTGTACAACCAATATTAATTGACGCTGATCAGAGAGGTTCTGCAACCAAATAGACCAGCCTTGGGTGTTCCTAGTTTTTCACTTGAGATACAAAACACAAATGGAGAAATCCAAATAGATGAGAGATTTTTCCATCTGACCACCTAAAATCCAACTTGGATACAATGTAAAAGCATCCAACTCAAAACAAATTGGTAATTAGCAGAGAGTTCTTTCAGCTATATAAACTAACATTGGATGACACTAACATTTTACTATTGGATTCAAGCTGTCATTCCATCTTACTAACAAGTAACAACAAACATTCATACTCAAATATTTAAATGGGTGAGAGGCTTTGTTCAGTCTAATACAGTGGAAAGACATACAACCCAAAGCCAACAGACAGGCAAGTAAAATTAATACTTGGTGGTACATAGGCTTTGCTGGTACAGAGTTAGCCACTTCAAATAGTTTATTTTCTTTGGCTCAGAATATGATTAATCTGCCATGGGCTACATGAGCCCCTAGTAGTTTATTGGATAAATTGATAAGTCAGGGTATTCTTGGCCCACCAAGCAAAACCTGTGGTTTCTTGGTCATGAACCAGCTAAAGCTAAAGTTTCATTCGAGAGCGTTTCGACATGGTAGAACCACCATGTGGAATATTAGGTTTTTATGAAACTGATTTTGAGCCGCTATCCAAGCATGAATACATTCGTTTAATAAAATTTTTTGCGGTGTAGTAAGTCTCAAATTTAAGATCTTTTGCTGGGCAAAGCTCCTGGGAAACGATGACTTAGGCACATAGGTTCAGGGCTAGATGGACAATTTGAAGAGTGCTCATCCATAAAGCAATTACGGGTAGACATGATATAATGAAATGCAACCAACTTTTATTGGAAAACAATGTCACCCTAAATATATGGAACCAAAAGCGATGACACCATTGAATAAGTTCCTTTAGCTCGCGCCGGGTGATACCAAGAAACGTGTTTTCGATGATATGTTTGGATGTTTGGAGTAGGGGGGGGGGAATATGAAGTGGAAAATTCGTTGGTGTTGTGCTTGTAATGCTCTTGTTTGGGTGCTTTAGTTGGAAATGAATGCAAAGATTTTCAATGAGAAATATGAGGAAATTGAAGAACTTTGGGAACAACTTTACTTTTTGGCTTCCGTGTCTAAAGATATTCCTATTTCTTGCATTATTTGTGTTGGACTACATTGTGTGGAATGCTTGCCTTTGCATGATTTTTTTTTTGTTTCTTTTCTGTCTTCATATCTTAGTTTTTGTATGTTTTGTGCAACTATGATATGTCCATTGTACCTTTGATTTTTTTTTTTAATGAAATCAATGTTTCTTATCAAGAAAAAAAAAGGATGAATTGTATTTGAACCATCACCATCTTCAAATAAAGTATTTTCTATGGAGCACCATGCATATAGCATAGCAAAGTAACTCCAAATTCACCAACAAGTCCCATCATATGAAATGGGTTCAATGTCTAACTATGAAACCCTTGAAAAAGAGGATGAATAAAATACCTTCCTAATGCAATGTGAGGCTTTGCTCTTCCATAGAATCCACTCCAGGTTGGAGGAACTAGTTCAACTTCTTGAGCAACTAAGATATTGAGCAAAATTTTTTTGATTGAATTCCTTTCCTCACCCTAAAATGAGAGGGAAGATAGATTTAACTTGAATCTTAGGCTTGATCTTTAATCCTACACCGTTCAATGATGAGATGGGAGAAGTTTTTTTTTTTTCATTATTTCACCAATGTTGAGGCTGATCCATGCCCATTCCCAATATATAATCCTTTGATTTGCCTCCACCTCTATAATCCACTCATCTTCCTGAGTTTTAAGTTAGCATCTCTCATGGTTGACGAAGACTTGAGCTATTAAGACAAAGAAAGGGAGAGTCTATAACTTGAATGAATCAGTGACAATGAATTAGTAGAATGAGGGATTAAGAGACGAATAGTGGGAATGACCAATCAATCATTGGTGCACCTGGGGTGGAGAGTCCCTTTAACCATATAAACCAACTTGAGTGGTCTTAATATTTTGATTTGGGATACAAGCACTATCAACGCCTTACCTCATGTTGGACCGTGGCTCGCTGGTGAGTTAATAAATAATAGACATCTTTATACAATGAGATTATGATGGGTGAGAAGTTTGACTCACTAACCACCTAAGTTAGTTTATATGGTTAAAGAGTCTCTGTATCCCTTTGACATGGTGTTAGAGCTGAGCTTTTTGTGTTCACTCAGCTAAGTCCTTAAGTCATTTGTACTTTAGTATGCATGTTTGTTTGTTTGTTAGTCTACGTGGAAGTTTGACACAATTTGAGAGATAGTCTCAAGAGAGTTTGTATCTAATATCGAAAGATTAGGACCATCTAAGGTTGGTTTTTAAGGGCCTCTTCACTCATTGTCAATTGTGATGTATGCCTCTTAACATAATGTCAGAGCTAGGCCCTAGGTGGCTAGTGGGCTTGGTGTCTCACTAATTGGAATTTTCTAATATGCATATTTGTTTGTTAGATCATGTGGGAGCTTAGATCTCACATGAGAGAGGTTATAAATAGAGCTTACATTCCACATCGACATATTAGGGTCACCTAAGGTTGGTTTATATTGTTAAGAGTTTCTTCATGAAGTGCCGATTTTTTGGTAGAGTATAATGGAAGTTAGCTCAAACCCTTCTTCCGATTTCTAAAAAGAGGGGTCAAATTCTCGAATCTTCATAAGTTATGCCATTTATGTTGTGTCTAGTCCTAGTTTTCAAACATTTAGAAACTTAAGAGCCATAAGTCAATAATCCCTCTTGATGTTGGTTTGTGTGACACAATGCTTATGAATCATTGACTCTAACTTTTAGTCTCATAGGATTATTCTTATACTATAGGGACGAAGCAAATTTTCATTTTGATGGTTGGCTCAAAAACGGAATCATTTCCAAAACAGAATGGAAATAAAGAAAAAAAATTAGAATTTTAATCCTGAAATATTTGTTGAAACATTTTAAAAATTTTGTAAAGTTTTGAGACATAGGAAATTCAATATTCAATTAGTGTTTCACCGAAACTGAATCATTTCTGTTGTGTCAGTGAAAACAAAACAAAATTTTGATTTATGACTGTAGCCTTAGTTCTCACAATCTTCCCGTCTTTGGGATTCAAAGATATTAAGTTTGAGATTGGTGTAACTTTATGCTTCACAAGTCTAGTTGTGTAAAGAACAAAACTTGAAAAAAGTTTCGGGCTTGTTTGGCTTGCAACTGCAAAACAGTTTTTGTTTTTGGATATGAAAAATAGAAGAGAAGTTGTTTAAATAGTAGAACTTTGTATCCAAAAAATTGGAAACAAGAAGTTAGAATTTGAGAGAACACTCTTGACATGTTTTCCCAGTTTTGAGAAATTGTTTCAAAAAAAAAAAAATTGAAAACACAGGATGTAATGTATTGTGCACTTAAAGACATCATTTAAAAGGGATTTTTTTTTTCTCTCATTCGAGCTTTCACTCTGCTTTCAAGCAATGCCAATGCGACTATTCTGATTATGACGATTGCGATTGAAGCTCCCGCTAGTGTGTTTGGTCAAGCTCAAAAGAAGAGTTCCTCTTTTCAGAGGAGTTAATGTGACTGAGACTTTAAATACCAAGTTTGATTGTTGATGGAGATTTCGTTTTAGGTTGTTATTCCTCCGCTAGCTGATCAATTCCTTCAAAACTCACGGTCTCGTTTGAAACTCTTACCCTTCAAGTGGTACAAGCTGATGAGAAGAGGTCTAATTGGTTTCTAACAAGCTCTTGAAGAATGCTCTTTCCATTTGCTTTGTATTTTTGTGCTGATTAATTTAGCATATTTTCTTGGGGTTGACTTCCTCCATAGGCCCTATGCAAACCAAAAATTTCGGATCTATATGGTTGGCTTTGTTTTGCCGTTCTTCACGGTGAGGAAAAGTATGACATCTTTGCTGGATGGTCAATTTTTGAAGTTAATTTTTTGTAAGCATTCATGGGCATTCAACATTTACCCTCTATCCTTGGGTTTTCATTTTTTTTTTATAAATTTCATGGATTAATTTTTAGCATTAGGTAATGCAATGTTGAGAGTTCTATGAGTAAATCTTGTTTGTCCTCATGTTGTATAACACTTGACTTAGAAAAAAAACCACGATAACACATCACACTCTTGCCTCACTCTCGTGTTCTTTTTGAAAATATTTTTACTAAAGAGTTAATTCAAATTGTATCCTATATTTTTATTATTTTTGGATCACTGTCCAAACATGTTTTACAATTATTTGTCTTTTAAAAATATTTTCGGAATCATATACTAAACAAATTATGAGATACAATAAAATCAAAATACTCTTTTCTAAAACTCTTTTTGAAAACATGTTTTTGAATATTATTTTTTGAGAACATATCCAAACAAGCCCGAATCAACTTTCAAGTGTGTTTGTGAAAGCTGGGGTGAATATTGAAAGGGTAATACTTAATGAAACTTGCAATGTCTCAAAAAGGTACATCACAAAGTTAAAAATAATAGATGTCCAATGAGGCAAGTTTATGTAGTCATGTGGGATACAATCTCTCTTTGCACTTCCTATTTTCCTTAATCTCCTTATAGTCGAGTAAACACTTTACTTTTGACAGTCGAGGAAGTTCTCATATGTAGCTGGACATTTAAAGGTTGAAGACCCACCTTTATGTGGGTTTGCGAATTTGATCATGCATCTTGCAGCCTCAAGGAGGCCTCCCTACCCTCGGATCACATTGGAAGAGAATTTCATCCTCCTCACCGTCACTTGAACGATCTGCATAGGTGGATTTGATGATATGAGACGTGGGTCCTGCCCAAAGATATTTTGCAAGGAAGCATGATGAACATCATGAGGCTCAGTTGACTCGATTCATTGTTTGCTGTTTAACTGTGGTCCGCAGCTCCTCCACCTCTCATTTATGTCCAAGGAAGTCGGTCATTGTGACTGCTCAGTTGTCCAGGGCACTGGTAGCTCCCTACTCCGATACTAATTTGCGTAGTGGAATTAACTAGCGAACAACATAGCACTATTCGAGAAAGAACTAAGCAAGAAGAACCGAATCTTCTTAATTTTCAAGACAATATGCAATGCATATACAACCTCTATGGTAATTACAGACTCCTAGTGACGTCTAAAGCAAAATTGACTCCTACAATTCAAATTAAGCAAAATTGTCCCTAGAATTAAGCACTAACAAATTGACTACTAATGCATTCATTTGACATTGGTATTCCATGTGTCCTAGAGTCAAAATTACCAGCTGACTGGCAGTTATGATAAATTTATGCAATATGGCATCACACACATATTTGGAACTTTGGAAGAGGTTTTGGAGTTTGCTTAGGAGGATCTTAGTGTAGATGGAGTTGAATGTCATTCAAACTCATCGAGAGAACCTTTTGTTGTTTTCGAATTATTGACTTCTTTCTCATTAGAACTAAACCTGTGATGATGATGACTTGATACTGAATTGCTAGCTGAAGTATGAAAAAATGCAAAGTCCTAGAATTTTAACAGAGGAAGGGTTGCACTTATTTTGTTGCAGGAATTATACCATGAATTGCATGCATTGGATAGATTTGAACAAGATTACAAGCGAAAGCTTCAAGAAGAGGATAACTTGAGTGCCGCTCAGAGAGGTGTGTACATGTATTGCCCTAAACAGTATTGCTTTAATCCATTTTGTTTTTGTCACCTATTCGAGAGAAAAAACTGATCTTATTTTTTAATGATGTAAAATGGGTTCCTAGATATTAGTGTTCCTCTAAATGGACTTCCTTTAATCCATTTGGTTTTTCCTTCTACTCAGGAATGACACCAATCCTATTTTTTAATAACATTAAATGATTTATGAGATTATGGTTGCAGTGTATGGAGCAAAAAACTCCACACATAATTTATCTCCATCACAGTTGATGTGGTATCGTTTTGAGCTTCCTTTGGTATATTGACAATTACCTGCGGTTTTTAGCTATAGTTTGTCTTGGCCGCAATATCTTTCGATTAACATTGTTGAACTGCAATTAGCAAGGTCTAAATAGTAAGGGGTACCCCAATTCTGAGATTATGAACATGCTCCTCCTTTAAGTTAAATTTCTCTAAGCTATACAGAATGGTATGTAATTGATTTACTGATATAAAATGGTAGAATAGAGGTTTGCATTTGCGTGTGCACGTTGTGAACTTGTATGTTTAGTCAAGTTTTCAGGACCGTAATCATTTTATAGCCACCCAGATTTGGTGGTTAATATGATGGCTATTAGAACTCAGGAATACCTGTCACCAGCATGTTGACTTTGTTTGGTGATTCCAAAATTGTCCTATTCCATGGGCATTCGTAGCTCGGTATCTCCAGGCTTGCATGGATGGATCTGAAATTTTAGACGTGTGCCATATTTAAGCCAGGTCATGGCCTTTCCAAGAATGGCTTGGCCAAACCTAGCTCTACAAGTTTATTTAATACCAATTTTGTGGTTATGTTTATAAGGATAGTCGTATGGCTTGCAATCAAAATTGCATTTTTAAGAACAGCCTTGTGCTGGGGTTGTACTGATAACTTCGGTGCTTAATATGGCCTATGGCCGCTCTTACTTTCTTACATGTATAGGACCTGAGTTCCATGTTTTTAAATATTCTTTTTCTCATTTTCTCTGGCTTTCTAGACTCCATGGGGCTCTATGTTATGGATTTCGTGATTCGATTTGATTTTGTACTTTCTTGGGTCTTCATTTTTATTTGTTTAAGTGTATTCTATTTTGCTTTTTTTTTTTCCTGAAATTTTATTGACCATGAATATAAGGAGCTTTTTTTCTAGCATTTGACATTAGCAATTTGCATATTTCCAAACACACCTAAGATAAGAAATGTTGGTGCTTAGACATTTTTGTTTTAACTTTTTTCTTCCAACTGTAGGTGCTGTTTCCTTTTGAAGCTTGATGTACATTCTATTTTTTTGGGTGAAAACTTGGACTTGAAAATCAGTACACCCACCCACCCAAAAAAAAAGACTAAGAAAAAAGAGGAAAAATTTATTCACAAGACTTTGACAATGTTGGTAGTCTGTATAAGTTCAAAATTAGTAAGTTGCTTCATATGAGAGGTCGATTTAAGAATATGAATAAAAACTGTCGTGTGTAAGTTACGTTTCTTATAATAGCTTAACGTTCGGGGAGGGTTTTAACAATGTATATCAACACTCTTTGCATGAGACTTCTCATGGATGGGCCATCAATGTATTATAAAGGAAAAAAAGACACGAAAAACGGAGAATGTGCCACCTCCATGAAAAAACAACGTGCTAGTAAGAAAGTCGTAGAGTTTCAGCACAAGACTTTTGTTTGATATCATTTTGACAGGAAACTGCTCAAAAAGCTTGATGAAAGAATATCTGTTAGCACTTCCCTTCCTATGGTTTGTGCCTTCCATGAATAGAACATGCACAGAAACAGACATACTATTAAAATAGCTTAAGTTGATGGAAAGGGGTGCAACTTAGCTACTTGTATCATTGCATCATGGACGCACCCCTCGCATGCTTGAATTATAGTTATACCATGTTAGTGAATGAGTGTTTTGCAAGTTTAAGTTGTTCGAAAAGAGGGGGAGGGTTATAGAAAATGAGTAATGTTTGAACAGTTTCCCTCGTTTGATGCCCTTCTCTAATGAACTGGCTTCACCAAATTTCAAATTACCGAGCAGGCTACAACAGTCAAAATGTGCCTTTTCTGCTTCTACACCATGCTAAGGCAGATCCTTCTAAACCTAAGATATGGTTAAAGAGGGATGTACAATATATTTCAGGATGTTTTGCATGTTAAGAGGAGAAATGGCACCTCTACTGACCCCTCCATCTATTCAATGCTACATATGCTTTGTGGCAAGATTCTTTGCTTTGGCATGGTTATTTTTGGTTGCTTTTAATGATATAGATTCTGTGCCTTGGATATCTCTCAAGGTCTTTCACTGGGGAGAACAGGCTAAAAGTTTGGCACTGTATTTGGGTCATTGCAGTGAAAAAATCTACAAAAATATGAGAAGTGATGGGTGGACAAGGATTTTGAGTGAAACAGTTGCTTTTTGACCTGTTGAGGCCTTAGCTTTAGTTCCCTTGGAAATCAATAAGGTGCCTTTGTATTTAGTTTTTCCTGACCAACAGTCCATCTTTCTTTTTTCTAAGCTTGGTAATTCTATGTTATTTCAATTGAAATGCTCTTAGGAGCTTGACTCCACATCGTGTAAAAAGCATTTTAGAGATTATTGGGCTGATATGGTATTGCCTTTCTCAAAAAACTGTGTAGAAGTGTTGCAACAACTGGGATCATAGTTCTCAAGAATCAGCCTCATCTTTGAAAACAACAAATATTGGATTGAAGTTGCTCCAAGGGGATGTTTCGCTTGGCTGTATAATGATTTTATTTGTTCCCTGCACTTTGCTTACTAATGAGAAAAATAATCAGTTTGAGTTTTCGAAGGGGCCGAAATCATTTGATTGAGTGTGGAGTTTTGGAGCCCTTTAGGGAGAATTTCTGACTAAGGAGTTCTGGTTGTAACTTTTGTTGCTATCTTTCCACTGATCAATTCTTTCCTTTGTCTACTTTACTTCCTTTCAGAATTTGTGGAATCCTTTATTCTCTGGTCCTTTAACTTAATCAGCGGTTCTGGTTTTTATCCAATCTGTTGTTTCTTTTTTAATTATGCCTATCTGTCTGTGTCTGTGTGTGGATTATGACCTGTATGATTAGTATTTATTTGTGTGTATAATTTCTTATTTGTTTGTATGTAATGTTTAGGAGACAGCCTTGCAATTTTAAGGGCAGAATTGAAGAGTCAAAAGAAGCACGTAAGAAGTTTGAAAAAGAAGTCACTCTGGTCCAAGATTTTGGAAGAGGTAGCAAGTCAGTACTACTTTATGTCTCTTTCTTGGAGTAGAGAGAGTAAATAATGTCTTTGTTGTGCATGAGCATGGGCTTGGTGGTTATATTTAAATTTGTTGCCATTAATTTCTGGAGATTCTTTTGGTGGACCAAGCTAATGTCTTGTATTTATCATTTTAAGGTGATGGAAAAGCTTGTAGACATTGTCCATTTCCTGCATGTGGAGATCCATGATGCTTTTGGCAGTGCAGGTATGCAAACCAATTTTAAACTTAATTTTCTCTCAATGGTCATATGAGGGTCTGCCTTGCTCTACTCTCCAGCCCAATTCAATGAAGGATGGGAGAAAAGAGAGATTTTTGGCTCCTTATATATATACACACACACACATGCTCACATATATTTTAAATTTAGACGCTCCCTAAATGTTTTTGTACTCATTGAGAGATCCAAAACTAAATACTTGGGGGCAGGTGTTTGGTAAGTAAGGGATAGCATGGGCGAAAACAGACAACTACAGGATATTTGCTAAAGCAAAATGATCTCTAACCAGCACGCACCAATCAATTTTGCTCCTTTTAAACTATTAGTAATTTCCCTTTTCACTTACCAAAAAAAAAAAAAATCTCATGGAAGTGTTCCCTGGAAGATTTTCTTTTTCAAAATATTGCTTTGAAGAGAGAAGAAAAGAGTGCTGCAGTTCATAAAGATTTGGAAACATACAATCACGTGGGGCATAAGAAATATTGTGGTTGGATGATCTATGCAAGTATTTACCTCAAATATTCTTACCCTCTACAAAACATGATGATGGGGATTGTGTAGGAATTGGATAGATATTATAGATTAATTATGATAGTTATTTAGATACTTTTAATATTTAGTTTTTAAGTAATTTCTTTTAACTTTTAAGGGTTTAGTTGTCATTTTGATTATTTATTTATTTTAGGGTTTGTGATCTCCTTATATATATAGGATTTGTGAATTCCTTATATATATAGGGGATACATATTTGTTGAGCGACTAGATTTTGATTATTGATATTGAATTTTCTTTCTAAAATTCTCTCTCTATTTTTATTCCCTTCTTCTTCTTTTCTCATCTTTGGCTTCTTCCCTTCTCATCCCTAATTCTTCCTTAATATGATCTACATCAATTTGAAATCAGAGTCCAACTTCGATTCGTATCCAAAAAAAATTACTGTTCACTGTTCATGCGTGCACTGTTCATCCCGAAAATACTATTCACACATGCACTGTTCATCCGAAATCACTGTTCACGTGTGGCACTGTTCATCACCATAAGAAAAAAAAATTCTAGAACCAGCCAAAAAAAAAAAGAACTGTCCAGTAGATTTAGAAAATTGCAGTAACATCCCAACTGTTTTAGAAATTACAGAAACACTCCAGAAAGTTTCAAAGCTGCAGAACTACCACAAGAAGTTTCAGAATTATAGAAACATCAATCTAGAAGTTATAAAAATTGCAAAATTTTTCCCCCAAAAGTTCCAAAAATTACAAAATCATCCCCAAAAATTTCAGAATTTCTTCTTGATTATGGTATGCATACTCCCATGAAATTTGAGACTAATATTTTTATTCATTGAAAAATTAGAGAATTTGCAAATGATCCAAAACATATTTTCTTCTATTTAAGTTCTCAATTCTCGTAATTATTAATTGCATCCTTGAACTCATTCTTATGTTATTCTCATCTTTCAAAGTCAATCATGAGTTCATATGATCATTATGATGCTTATTCATATACTTATCCAACATCAAGAATGTCTCAAGTTCATAGTTCTCCACAACGTCATCATTATACCTATTCTACTCCTAGAGCTTCTCGGAGTCATCATAAAGT